CAAATTGTTAACTAGGGAGTGAATAATCAACTCCCGTCATCTAGATGACAACCGCGAGAGAACTGAGGAAGTGGTAATCACGATGTCACCAACAACATTGAAAGCTCTTATGGAGTGGGATTATGACAGCAAGTATCAACTCAAAAGGTAGTAAAGTTACAATTATTCAGTGCTACGCTCCTAAAAACAAGTGAGAACAAGAAAAGAAGGAAGAATTCTGTGGACAGCTGTAAACAGTATTGGACAACATCCCAAATGGTGACATCGAAACCCCAACAGGTAATATGAATTTATCCCTACATTTTAGATCGTTTCCCTGTCTTATTCATAATAACTAACTTATTCTTGTTGAAAATAGTACTCATCAGTTTAGAAGTCCGATGGCAACTCTAGAACAAAACTTACACATCCATTTGGAAGTTCCATTCAGAAATAATATAACTTCTTTAATGGTATGCTTTTCTAACCTACACATGAATTCAAGAAAGAATATCAGACCCACTGACAGTATGACGTGTTCTATGGAGTAATAGGGGAGTTAAATAGATAGAGAGCAAACTATTACTTTTTCTCTTCTATGAAGATCTTAGTGGTTTACAGCACCATCCTGACCTTGAACATTAACTGTAACCATATAAATGAGTGTTTTCTTCAGGTTTATTTGCTATAGTAGACAAAGTTATTCTTGCATTACAAGGTGATAATTACGGCGGCATGCTCAAATCACTGGGCTACTTGAACAAAAGGCACAAAATCGTCTCTATTTCTCTTTATTTCAACCATTCAATCGTGTCCATGGGTTGCCAAATGTACTCGTGTACATTTTTAATTCGCTTTCAACCTACTGCTGCGTGTTTCTTGGTAACTGAAGAAAGATACCAAAAATGAATTGCTTTTATTCTCTGGATCGAAGAGCATTGCGTCACATGTGGTATTGTAGATTGCTCTTTCACTTGCAGATGATAAATGAAGAGAAAATATTTGTATTTATTTTTGATTATAGCTTGATTCCACACCGTATTTTTGGTACAAGTATGGAATTTTCAGCATGTGATATCGGTAGCCCAAATTTTGCAGGCCGACCAATTGATATCAGGTGTGTGTCGGTAGGGGATCAAACCCCGGACCATGTGCATGGTCGGCGAGCGTCCTAACCGCTGTGCCACCGACGCACAATAAATTCCGCTGAAAATATTGTATACTGTATATACATTTTGTGCAGAATAAAGCTGTTATTATTATTATTATTATTATTGAGATTTTATTATTGAGATTTCCTTAGTCTATGTAGAATTTTATTTATTGATAATGTACTAACTGCATGCAATACTGTGGAAAAATAAGCTGAAAATTTCATTTTGTATCACAAGTACTGTTTTGGAATAAAGCAAATTATTATTATTATTGATATTGTTATGTTACTCGGTCTCAGTCCCAACGGGAACACTACCAGATGCTTGGATCAATGTAAATAATAATAATAATAGCTTTATTCCAAACAGTATTTGTGGTACAGGTATGGAATTTTCAGCGTTCATTACAATATTGCATCTAATTACCTCATAAATTTTATAAGAATTTAAAAATAAAAAGCAACAGCAACAAAAGAAAAAAAGAGAAATAGAAGAAATAAAAAAGAACAGTATTGTATTCACATATTTAAACAATACACCACAGGATATGATATATAAAATTAGTCTGTAATAGTATATATGAGCAACAATATAATAGTAACAAAGAAAGGAGAACAAAAGCTAATGGGAACTATTTGTTAGAGTACCGCAGTAAGGTGATCATGTCATGCCTAACAGTTTTCTCATCACATAACAGCTGTGCCAGATAAGGTATTGTGGAGTTTTTATACTTGGTAGTCCTAGCATATAGCTTCCTATAGTTGCTTCTAGTTCTACCAGATGAAATGCAAGGAGAGAGCTGTGTATAGAGAGGATGTTCAGGGTCTGACAATATAGTATTCGCTAGTTTCTTACATGACATTATATGTCTATCCACTATGGTGTTAACCAGTTGGTTTAACGAAATCCCACTTGCACTACTAACAGCTTTTAGTGCCCTATGCAGCGAAGCAAAGTCTTTCTTAAGTAGTCCAGGAAAGATTAATGGGGAGCAGTAAAGAGGGATGGGTAGAATACAGGAATTGACAAACTGAGAAAGCAAAGACTGCTTTATAACTGACAAGCAGTAAATATGAGAAATTTCGCATCCTTGACCACAGTACAAGTCGACATTAAATTATACCAGTGTAAATTCCTTTCCCATACTAACTTAATGCTAACGCATATATTATATATATATATATATATATATATATATGAGTCACACTGTCTGGTTCTAGGAGTGAAACCGATTTTATTATATGGTTATAATGCTTCCCAGTATAAATCAGCAAGGTACATACGCAATTTGCATGAGGTCTAAGTTCATGGTCCCCTGCTGGGTGTTTCATTCTCTTACAGTTTATGTCCTTCTTTTTTGTATTACGTAACCACTAGGATACTAATTTTTGGGCATTGTAGATTTCCCCTATGATTCTACTAAAATTATCACACTGAATTTGCATACAATAACCTTTGGAACATTTGAAAGCCTTGAAGTTCCTTTTAAATTTATTCATTAATTTTATCCACAATCGAAGAATGATGAGAAATGCTTTATTAGTGAAAAGTTTACAGAAAGAACAATATATTATCCTAGTGACTTGCTACAGGATGGAGCTTCCTGTAGTTCTAGTGAGAAGTCGTGACCAGTGAGGTCCATCCAGATGTCACGTGTGTGGATGGATGTCCCACCAACGACAATAGTTGGGGTCGCGCTAAAATCAGGAATTGGTAGAAGTTAGAATTCATGGACTGGCCATTGAATCGGGTCCCAGTGGCTGAATGGTATACGAGCTCGGTGGCCTTGTAACCGGAAGGTCCTGGGTTCGAACCCATGTGGTGGGTGCGTACTGCCGATGATTCCCAAACTAGGATGAAACAGCGGCTGTCCAGTACTCCCTGGTTTTCAATGGTTCTCTAACTGATATCAGTCCGTGATCAACTCATAAAATATATTATCAACAAGATAAGACTACTACCCAGGATAACCTTGAATTATAATTCATGTTTACACAGTGACTAGTTTTCCTTCACTTGATAATACTACTAAAATCATTGCATATCAACTTGCATTACACAAGTATTTGAAGAGAAATCTAAATGAAGTATATTTCACTTAAGGTCAAGTTATTTATTATTATTATGATATGATTATTATTGTTTCCTTTAATCCCTAGAGGAACTTAGGGCCTCAGCCGTGCGTCTCCATTGCGTTCGGTTCTCTACTAGATTCTTCACCTGGCTCCATGTCTGCCCACACGCTTTCATCTCCTCTTCACATTACCTCCTCCAAGTCACCCACCTCGCACTGACGACCAACTCGCCGCTTGCCATTCATCGGGTTCCACTCGAGCAATGGCTTGTCTAGTGATGTCACTTGATGGATTGTTTCCTCAGAGTATGGCCAGCCAATCCATCTTCATTTCTTCCTGCCTATTTGTTTCACAATCGGTTCCTGGTTGGTTCGCTCCTCAAGTTATTTAGTGGATGGTAACTTGCAGTGGAATCCAGTAAGCACATTTCTCCCTATTCAGAACCCGTCAACTGGATGTACCTGCAATCCCCAGTGAATGATGACGTTCCCACTGGAACTAGAACCCAGTATGCGAAAGCGTCATTCACTTTACCACTTGAACCACGAGTAAACAGAGGCCGAACATTTCGGTAGAATCAATCAACGGGGAAAAACAAAACAGATAATTCCTTTTAGGTTGTTTATATTGAAACAAATGTAATTGAACAATGAACAATTAACAACTGCTTCTAACAATCTATTACAGCGGATACAGGAAATGAGGCAGGCCTTTCTGATGACTTGCTAGACTTAAAACATTATTTTAGCATCATGTTACAATATTCTTAAATTAAAACTAAATACCTAGTTAAAAAATCACTAGACAACCAACATAATTTCCAATCAGTTCTCGCTATTCAAATGTACGGCCTTGAGAAGTATCCATTGTTCCCTAGGTTACGATAGCTGATCAAGATCATAATTATTTTATCCTCATCTTAAACAATAGACATTTAAAATTAGTGTGACACTTCCTCAAATAGAATGCATGCGTTTAGGTCAACACAGTGTGTTATATCTTGAGTTCAATTCAATCAAGTTTTCGCTATGGGAAACCATTAGGGTTATAAGTGGAGCATTGACTGCAAATTTCGAAGTAGTATTAGCGCAGCTTTGCCTGTATGTTTATTTAACACTACTGTAATGGAGATTATTTTATGTTTCGGTTATTAAACATTATTCAATACGTCGCTATTGTGAATGGGTCATTCAGGCTAAAATTTCAACCTGATGCAGACATTCGGTTTGCAGACGGTCGGTGTTGATCAACTACCTATCTTAGACCAGTCTTGCCTTGAAGAATTGTTTGAATTAGACAAAGCTAAACAACACTTGATGATTTCTAAAATAAAGCCGTACAAGAGGTCTAGCCGTTTGCTATTGAAAAGGGATGTATGAATCAACCCACATATTTAATACTTCTTGAAATATGAAGTGGTTTTTAAAAAGGTCATTTTCAAAATGATCCCAATTTTACCTGATCTAGTTTAGCCTGTGTTTAGAAACAGATGTTAGTTAGTCTGCTTTGTGTGGTGAATCAAGAAAGGCTTTTCATGTGTAAACAATACCATCTGTCTCTTGTCACTAATTTTTCAACCTTAATAGACCCCATTTGTATTTCTCTAGACAATGTTAACCAATTAAATCAAAGTTTGTCATACCACCCACTCATCATTTTGAGGTTAAATGACCTTGTATAATTTTGCCACTTTCTGATTGGTTAAATAGTCATATTGGAAAAGACCTATTTGAACGGATGAAAATATTCGTGTATTGTTAAAAATTTCCGTTACAAACATGATTACTTTATGTACATGAACGTTTATATCGTGAACTGTAAAGACCAAAGGATGTTTATCAAACAATTATGTTGCATACATCGAGAATTGACTTAAACTATATACGAGATATACTTTATTTAATATGAGAAATTAAAATCATGTATATTACCTGTAAATGTTGGATACTTTTACTTTTCCTATTCTCATTAATTTGGAGAGTTAATACATATAAAGCAGAACAAAGTAAGTTCATTAATATTTCCTAAAAATTTTCTTATATCATTAAAATGAATAATACCTTGAAGTTAAATTAATCGTAAGGTGGAGTTTCATGATGGAGTACTCTGCTCTATAGTTTCCACATGCAACTTTCTGTTGAGTGTACTTCACTGGGTGAAATGACTCTTTCTGCTACTCACAGGTTATAGGTGAACTTCAATTTGTGGTTAATGTTTTATCAAATGGATTGCATATTTATTCACTGAGAGTTATTTAAATTAGGAGTAATTAAGCTTTGTATTTTCCAAGTCAGCTTGTTTATTTGGTAAAACAGTGTTACAGAAGTATTTACTGGATGACTTTCCTAACAAAATTCACTACTCATAATTATATCAAATCAAAATCAGTTTGTATACATGAGTATATTCTCAGAATTTTTCGTAAACTCTTTATCAGACCCATCAAAAAGCGTGTCATACAGTAGGAAATCCATTGGAGTTTTCAACTTGGACATTGACGTACTGTCCACATCACTGCCATTTTCAAACTCCTGTTCCGCAAGCTATCCATTTTCTTTGATCTTATCGTAGTTTCTCTCTACTAATTTAATATTTAATGTACTAATAAAAGCTGTTTAGTTATACTTGTGTGATCCTGTCATGACTTATTCGGAATTGTTATTTGGTGAACAACCAGCAATCCATCTGAAATACACCTTCAGTATTTCTGGTTATTAATGTACTGATGAAACTTAATTCAGCCGACTTCAGAGTTTTATTGCTACTCGGATAGCTTCTGATAAATCTAGTGTACTCTCATGTATCCATCCACTTAGATGTAGACATTGACTGGACATAGATTGTTCTGAATGCTTTCAGAGAAACTTTAAGTAGATCATGCTCTCCAGAAACTATTCCTAATGTTCATTTTCCTAATCCTATTTTGGAACGGATGTAGAACTTCCACTCAATGTTTGGTCTATTTCATCTGTGGTGCCAACACGACAGCCACCTGAGAGAATACTTAGTAGTTCATCCTTCACATATCTAAGGTTATGAAATGTAAGTGACCGCTACTACTACAATTCATTACTGTTACGTGAGGATTTGTGGATTACATCACTGCTTTCTCAGAACGGTTGGTTGTAGTACCAAAGTGATGTTTCAAAGTCAATGACAAAATTGCCCTGACTGTATATTCCCCCGAGAATCTTGGACGTTTTATTGCTGAAATTATACTAATTGAACGTTATTTCTTGTTTTGTTGTGGTCAACTTCAACTTACTGTCTATTTGGGTCCTATACTAAATCACAGTAACTGGAACATTTTTAGCTTGTATGACATCCTAAGACTTGTCTTTCTGCGTTTTCCACGCACCGGCTTACATAAACTGATTAAGTATGATGGTCATCTTAGCTTAGATGCTTCATATAAGGACTGTTCCTTTTTTACACTCACAACTACCGTACACTTTACATCCAAATCGTTTTAATCGCTCTAAGTGTGAATGAAACATTTAGTCTCAGATTTATGTCGTAACCAATAGTCTGATTTCTATCATAGAGTAGTTATCATTGACCTAGTTTCTGTGCATTTAAAAGGTCATTTTAATGAAGCTTTATAAGTGTATTTCATAGATCTAACTTAAATACATGTGTATACTTAGTATTGAGTGTGTTATGCAAGGGTTGTGAGAAAGAATCGTTGTTCTAAGCATGTGAGAAAACAGTATAAATGAACAATGAAATGTTGGACTCAGCATCTAATCATGACACAACTAGTTAATTAAATTAATTCATTAGTTTCTTTCAAACACCTGGTGTTAGATGAAGTTTAAAATCACACGGGATGAATATAAAATAAATAATTCAGTTGTGCAATTCCTCTTTTAAAAAAGAAACAAATGAGTTGAGATTATGAAATGCAAGTGATAATTAGTCACTGAACCATGGAACATGTATTTCATAGTGTATAGAGAATGTCATAATTCTAGTCTCTGTCAACAGTCTGTATACGTCTCTTGAGTTGTAATAAAGTAGTACATAATTAATTAATTGTGGTTGGCCTTGAGTTATTTCTTCAACGGTTTTCATCCGTCGATTTCTAGCATTTTGGGAACTCTAGTTAGTTGGGTAGCATAGACTTCCTTAATTGGCACAGGGAACATTTTGAGGAACTTACTAGGTTGATATTGCTGTCTTCTTTTTCTGTCTATCCTCACTAATTTTCTTCATCTCAGCCGACATGTGAACTGCTAACCATCAGTCTAATCATCGCTCTTTGATAAACATTAGGGAACAAACATCTCGTTAGCACTGTAAATAATGTTGACCAATAATCATTATTCATTCATCAATTCCTATATGTTCCCAGTGGAACATAGGGCTTCAAGCTAGAGGCTTGAAGTTTCTGCAGCAGTGGTGATTATTTTTACAGGATGGGATTGCTAGCCTCACGCCCAACCTTTCCTCTTTACCAGTCTTACTACTGGCTTAGCGAGGTGAAGGAGTGCATCTGTGGCCGGGGATCGAACCCCGGACCACTTGTATAGGACTCCTTACTAAATGAATTATCTATTTTATACAAATGGTACACTCTGCATTATTAATAACGTTTTTTTCTTCAAAGAAGTTGGCGTGCCGTTTCCACCGATTATCACCATCCACCATTTCTGTGTCATTAACATTTCATCATTGTCACTTTTATGGCCCTTTTCTACTAAAATGCAAGTAAAATTTATACAAAAAATGGATAAATAGTAAGAAAATGCAAATAAGCGATAACTTCATTGTATTGGAACTTAAAAAACCTATTGAAATATAAAGAGAAACTCTCAACATTCACTGTTAATTTACATACGTTGACATTTATGATGCAGTGTCAACGTTAGTCGACTGTAAGTAAATCTTGAATTGAAATTGTAATAAATGACATTGCTCGTTCATTTACATAATTCTGTATGATATTTTGTTGTTGGTGTTGTTGGAAAGTTGTGTTTTATTTATTATTTCAGTTAGTGTCATTGATAGGTCGTGAATTAACGACTTCATCTGTCCATTCGATATTGAAAGTGATCCAGGTTGAAGGAAGAGATATTAGTCTGAAATATATTCTTAGCTTTATCATTTAAACCTCAAGAAATGACCATTCTTTAAACATTGTGTCGTGTTTTAGACTAGGGGGCTCATATTGAAGTGAATATTAGTCGTGATCTCACAACTGGTCCATGGGTTATATCCCTAATGCTTATTACGCCGGCTGTTAATTAAGTGTCAATTTCAAGTCAAATTTTTGACTGTTGTACTCAATCCAATATCAGTCATTATCGTTATCCCTGACTTTGCTATTGGCAGTTTTGATATTTTTCCACTGTTGACCTATCTGCTTTCTATGCGTAGTTGCCTTGATACTAACTGTAGTCTGCGCTTTAATCTGTAACTTTTCAGCTTGATTTATATGTATTCCTGCGGAAATGAAACTCAGCTTCATTACTCTAAATGTAATTATAACTTACTAGGCTACATAGTTATGACAGGTGCCGCTTGTTTCAGTACTCATGATCTAATGGAAGACGGTTAGTTCATGTCTATAGGTTACTAACCGTAGAACTCTTAATCACCAATAACAATTTTACCTAGTGAACTAGCAGTAAGTATCGTAACTCATTAGCCTACCTGATAACTACCCGGTGATTTTAAGGCAATGGGTGTTGTGTTCGATTCCCACTGTCAATAAGAGCAGCTACTGAGATAGATACAGGTGCGTACCTGCGTAACAAATCCTAGATAGAATGCAATACCCTGCCCTAGATTCCACTTAATCACAAATGTTTTTGTTTAACCAACACTCGGATATTTACTGAATGCATAATTTTCAGATTTTTCTGATTGAAATAACATTTTCAGTCATAATTTAATTTAGCCTCTCAATCAATTTTGTTATGACGTAGATGAAAGCTGTCATATTTGGTCTTCTATATTCCTTGACTGTTTTCCTTTTTTATCAATTAATTCATCAAGATACAGTCGAAAGAAAAGTCCATTCACATAAACCAAACCATTGACAGTTTTTTTTGCTTTTCTGATTATTTTAATGATTCTTACAATGGTAGGTACGCAACAGCTTTCAATAGATCGAAACTGTCAATTCTTTTATCCGTGCATATCTAGCTTCTAATTTACTAACTGGTGGATGGATGTGGATGAAGAAGAAAGCATAGTGTATGGCTATGTATTAAAAACATCTCTAACTAATTAACTAATTACTATCGCTTCGAATATTAGTAATATCGTCATTATTTAGGTTTATATCTAGTCTGACTAATGACTTACCCTGTTTTCTTTGAGCTGTTAGCGGACACCTATGATTGGTTGGTTTAAACGCTGGAAATTGAGGTTAGTAGATTAGATCCTCTAACCCTGTATCACCTACTGCGGTTTGAACAGTTAGGTAGTACCATTTATAACTCCATTATAGATAAGATTTTATTTTGATAAATCACACACTGTTGTACAGTAATATTAACTGGTGACGTTTCGAGCACAAATTATTGCTCATAATCATATCATCAGTCACTCACACAACTTTTTTTCCAGTGACAGCTTCATACTGCTTATTAAATCCGCTGTAGATTTCTTAATCTTATTCATTACTGTATCTACTACAGGCTTCTTAATTTCCTCATGTGGACCCGTTTCAATGTGTTCAGTGACTTTCTTTATATAATCAGATTTATCCAAAACTACTGTAGAGTTTCCTTTATCAGCTTTTGTGATAACGATGTTTTTATCATTTTTAAGATTGTGATTAGAGCCAATCTTTCCGATTTCGTTAAGTTTGACTGTGCTTTCTTTTGTTTTTTTTAAGAGTTAATGCACATTGAGTTCGAACCTCTTCTGCTGTCGTCTTATCTATTGAACTGAATGCTACTTCTATGTTAGGGATGACATCTTCTGGTTTTAGTTTGCTAACCGTTACATTGAAATTTAATCCTTTTCCAAGCAATTTTATCTCACTAGAGCTTA